AGAAGGTGAAGCAAAGCCCCGAATGCCGGAGGATGACCGGCGGCGAGAGCGTGTGGCTGAGCTGGAGGAAGCTCAGCTCTGCCGGCCTCCAAGTCGACCGATGGATCGAGGGCGAGCCAGGGGAGCAGGCGATGGCAGGGAGTGAGTCAGATCAGACTTGGGCCCACCCACACCAAGGAACTCCAGGGAGTCATGCGCCAAGGGATTGTCACCGCGATTCACCTAGCTGCTGTCATTGTCAGAATCCCATTCTCTGACAGCTGCGAATGCCTCCGCCCAGCACTGCTTCTCCGCTGCGGGCAAGCGGCCCAGGGGGAGAGTGCCAGCTCGGCATGCTCTCCGCTGAGGCAGGCCTTGCAGCGAGTGTGTTGGTCACTGGACATGATAAAGCCCATACTACAGCCTGGGCACATGGTGACGATGGTGTGGCGCTGGAATCCAGCAGTGAGGAACTTTGCTCCTTAGCCATGATGAAGGAATTGCTCTTTAAACTGCTGAAGCAAAGAGGAAGCCGACCACAGGTCACACTGGCATTTATGCCACCACAGTGGACCTGACTGGGGACAGCCCAGTGCAGGGGACAGGGCGCAAAAGAATCTCTTCAGGACTGCACATGCGTGAGGGATAAACCCAATAGCGACAGCCCTTAGAGGGTGAGGCCTATACGAAATAGAAAGATGTGGCATAAGTAGTCTTTCTCACCAGAGGTGCTCTATTTTGTTGAAGATAGTTTCTTTTTTTAAATTATTGTAACACTGTAATGCACGGAGACACCTTTGCAAGCGCTGCTGGATTACTTTTGTTGCATAGCTTCTCTTACTGCTTTTGCAGCATGTAAAAGGATCTATCACTAGTTGCCAGGATTATTAATAAAGAAAACTATTTCTGAATCATTTGTATTCAGTTTATGTAGAGAGAAATAAAAATTCCATTGACATTTTGCTTGAAATTATGCTTCCGGTCACATTTTCACATGTAAAATAAGTCCTTACAGGTTGGGACAGGCTCATTTACCACTGTTACATCACCTTTCCTTTTAATTACTCTTTTTAATCTTTGAAGAATACTAAAGGGGGTTTTTCCATTATAGGAACCTACCGAAATGTGTCGGGCCGAGTTTCCGCTACACTCGGCTCGCTTTCAAGGTGTGTTCTGGGAGCTAAAGTTCAGCACCTCTCAGGAGGTAGAACTAGAATTAAGAACACAAGGGGGAAGGCGTGCATGTGAGCAGAGCAGTCGCCCATGACTGGTTAAATGTCCACGTTCACACACCTCAAGCATTACATTATTATTAGCATTACAAGCACCTTGTGTAAACAAATTTTATTTAACCTCTGTCCCAACTTGTGTGTGTGTGTTGCAGGCATCAAATTCTGAATTTGTTTATATTTACAAAATGCATTTAAGTTGTAAAGTGTAAACATTGAAAACATTTCTTTGTCCTTTTGTCAGTGGTCCCAAAATGTCTCAACTTTTCTGGAAATGGAGTTTGTCATTTGTTACATGTTACATTACTTCTGCATTACTCAGCTAACAACAAACCGCAGCATTAAACTGTACATATGCAAAGTAGACTCATACTTTAAGCTCTCAAATGTTTTCTTTAGCTCACTTTACATCTTGACATAACACTGGTCCAAACCACTCGCAAAGTTTTCCTTTCATAGTTGTGACTGTTCCCTGTTGTTTGTATTTTGCTGAGTATTTTTCTGAGAGACAACAGATCTACTGTAAAAACTGGCAACATACTATACCCTCTAGTAGGTTCAGTTCTACAAGCCTGTTCATCTCTGCTTTTGTTACCTGTTGCTGTTGAAGATCAAGCTTTGGCTGCTTGGCTGGGGTCGGCCTACACTCAACTTGAGCATCATTGTGGGTCCGAGGCTACTAGCTACTAGTACTTTGTGTTAGCATGTTGCTTTTGCAGGTGTTTGGAGAGGTTTGATGTTGTGTTTCTGGTCCAGGCATGGTTTGCACCTTGCCATCATATCCTTACCATTTTGTGTAACAAATGTAATGTGCATATCTCCACCAGTTTCCACCCTTAAAATGTTGTAGACCACTCTGCTATTTTATCCCTATTGCCCCACAGGCAGTTGTTGTGTTAGTGCACGTGAAAAGGCACATTAAATGTTTTTCTCTCTGCCCATTTTGCCCATATTTGAAGAAGTTATGAAATGCAAGTTACTTGATTAGTAAATATATGTGATTACTTAATAATGAACAGTAACGTTTTACATTACTGCATTACAAACAAATGTAATGTGATTACAGTAACACATTAACCCACTGACTGTATATAAAAGATGGACAAACTCTCCGTGACTTCAGCCACTGGTTTTCTGATAAGCGGTTTTGAAGCTCAAGTGTGGCCTTCGCCATCTTGGCCGCACTTCACCCCAACTAACCCCTGCTAATCCAAAAATAGGCAAAGAGGCGGAGCATGAGTTTAGCTAGATAGCTAGCAGCCAGCCAAATGTGGTGCCACTCAAAGCCGACACGCCTTTTATTATGCATAACTTTTAGCCTCAATATAATTTAAATGGGTTATATAATATTAAATCACCCCCAAACAGTTGTCATGGAAATGGAATTTAGTTATAGAGCAAAATCATTTTTTGTACCAAGATGTTTATTTGTGCTATAAATTTGGGCATTTACATTACGTTATGTTCTTAGTACTCCTGTACGCCAAAATGTGCCACGTCAATGCATCACCAATGTTTAAAGGTCATGAGATTGCCATAAGCATAGCGCCGAAGTGGTGGAGGACAAGTTTGATTTTAGTCATTCTCCTCCAGATATTATGAAAGTCTGGCTGTGCAATACTCAGGCTCAAACTAATTAGCCAGAAAACCTTGGTCATTAGCAGAAAAGCCAGAGGCAGGGTGTTCCTGGTTGCACCAGTACAGCTCACCAGTACAGCTGACTGTACATTGATGGCATTGTGACATACAGTGAGACATGAGAGAAACATACTGAGCAGAGCAGGTGTCATATGTTCCGGTCAGTGTTGGT